CTTGGATTTTTAATTATTTAATGCCTTCCATTTTGAAATGGACACTAAGTTTGGATTTGTATTAGAAAAGTGGCATTTATTATGAAATTTTTTTGCAGAAGGAAGGGCTAGAGGCTTATCATGGTTTACGTCGTTTATTTATTTTATTAATAATTTATTTATAATCCTAAAGACAATATTACCAATAAATTAGGTTGGCAGCATGAAGCAACGAACCATGATATTATATTAATTTATAGAATATTATTTATGTTGGAATGACGTTCTTAACTTTGAGTTGTTTGGATTTTTTAATAATGCTTTTATTAAGACAATTCAATCATATATAAATATTTTCAATCTAAGTTTCGTATACTTGCAAAGTGATCGATATTTTTGCAATACAAAAATCAGCCAATAACAATGAAGTTCACTATGCTACGTATCTATCTTTGACATTTTTTTCTTGACCACTATTAAATGAACAAATCCTTATGTTATCATTATCTATTTCTATATTTTTGATGATTGATAATTAACAATCCATCACGCGGTAAAAAATCAGATAAAAAAATATATATAAGTTGAAACTGACATAAAACGTCATATGAAATTTTTTTTACATATGATCACATAATTTTACAATTGTAATTACAATTAAAATACAATTGGGTCGCTTTCGGTAGTGATCATTAGCAAGTACATAGCAACTTGAAAGTACCAAGTGCCACTAGATATAGTACAGTCGTCCCTCGTTAATATCAACCTCTTGTTAATATCAACTTTTTATTAATAACAAATATGCTTAAGAAATATAAAAACTATTCTTTGTTATCAACCCTCGCATATATCAATATAATTGTCTAATTCAAATGGGTTTAGATAAATGAGGGACAACTGTATGCTGTATATAAAATGATGAATAAGAATTCCCTTTCATAAAATTATGAAGAAACGTTTTTGTCAATCGGTACACTATTTGTAATATAAACCTAGAAAGCAAGTTATATGTGGTAAAGTATTATACCCTGGTCACTATATTAAGATTGCAGGGCATAAATCAGTTATACCCTGGGCACTATATGAACCCCCTAGCATAACCACCACGATCAGTTACGTAATCTCTGTTTAAAGTCTGATCTGAGATTTTACTTAACCGGATCTCATAACCCGACATACAAATTTATTATCATTATTAAATAATATAAAATTTTTTATTGTGTCAAAAAAAAAAGTGTTTATTCGAAAATTGTTCGGTAAACAATTATTACCTAACTTTACATGCTACATCATAGATTTTTATTGCGTCAAGAAAAATGTTATTCGAAATTTATTTGGTAAATTATTATTACCTATCTTATATACTATATCATAAATGTTCATGAATTTAAGTTTACTAATAAAAAAAAAGTATTTTATTTCATGTGTTCCAGGTTCTTGGAGGTTTTTCATTTGGTTCAGATTCTTTATGTCGTCTATTATGACACGAAATTGACTCAATATTGGGTTGCGAAAGGCTATAAGACTTTTCAAGAAGGTCAAGCACCTATATTAGAATAGTATCGATATCAAATTTAGATTTTATTTATAATTTAATTTGATAAAAACAATAAATAAGGTATACTTCATAAAGAATTTTTGTATTGAACTGTAATTTCAAAATCGCTTTCTTCTTCACTTGATCGTCATATACTACAATACTATTGTTACACCTGGAGTTGACCTCTTCTATACAACTCAGGGAACTAGCAGATTGATAGTATGAAGACTATGATCTAGTGACTTGGCAGGTTAACAGGGTGTCGATGGTATAACTTATCAAAGAGGTTTTATAAGGCTTTATCGAAAGAGGCAACAACTCAATCATATATGAAGATACAAAGGGTTGGAAATAACACAACAAATAATGAATCACAAGTCTCACGTGATCACAATTGTTAAGATTCTTAATGAACTAACTCATACAGGGGTTTTGTGTATGAAAACACAAGACTTGTTTATTAATAAATTTATGTGGTTTGATATGAAACAGAACCTGAATATAACCAAAGTAACTATTTGAAGATAGTTATGGGTACAACTGGAGAATTTGAATCTATCTACTAAAGGAAGATATATATATGAAGATATATAAATGTTTAGGGGAATTCGAAGTCTCAGGGAAACTAGTTGAAGGCAAAACCATGGCCTTTAAATAACAGAAATAACTACATAATTATTTACAGTAAACAACTACTATCTACTGCTATCTACCAATCATATATCACTCATTCTTTTTAACTCCAATTTTTTCATAAGTATTAACTTATATTCACCTGCTTGCACTCACTATCTTACTGTATCTTCATCTGTTAGCAATTATTTCCTGATATTGCTTCATTGCCTTTCGAAAAACACAAGCCAAATGTGCCATTTCTGGCCAATCTTACCTGATATTGAGGCCGTCTAATTATTGGAATCATACCTGCAATGATAGCTATCAGGCCTGTTTGAGAACGCTATTGATATCGCATCATGCGTTTTGCTATCAGTATCAGGACTGATAAGGCAACAGAATTAGGACTTGTATAATACTATCTAATCAGGCAATAAGCATATATGTATGATAATATGCTTTAGACAATAGCACGAAGATTTGTGAGGCAATTATCTTTCAATCATTCTGGGTTATACAGTTCCAAGGTTCAAGCTGATCTACTGCGGAGTCATATATCACATTAATCAAGTACTTCTTTAAGTTGTCAATATGTGACTTGTGACTCTTTAATATCACAGACATAGGGCACATGTACACAAGATCCTGATCGGGACAAGAGCCAGATTTACACTTAACAATTACTCTCCCTTTTAGTTATGAGCTCCTGCAAATGGGCATTATAATAATTCACTATTGGTGGTAGTAACAATTATCAACTATAAATATTCTTTGGCATTGTCTATTTGATAGGAATCATATTATAATAGGTTGATCTATTACCCTTTCTATATCAGGAATTATATAAAATTTTGCTAACACTCATTTATTGCCTTTTATAGTACTTCTTTAACAAGAAGGCATTTTGCAGGGTATCTAAATCACGTCCCTCTATTGTCCGCAATTTATAGACATCTTGTGCAACCCTTTTTGTTATTATATAAGGCCTAACCATTGAAAAGAAGTTTTCTAGAATGTCAATTAGCTCTGATGGCATTAAATAATAACACTTTATCACCTATATTAAATATTCTAACTACTTTCTTCAACTTCTTATCCCAATGAAGCTTTTGATGCTCCTGAGATTTATTTATATTTTCTTTGGCCATTGATTGTTTAATTGGGAGCTTCTCTACTATTGTTGTCAATCAATCGATAAGATTTACTCTCGCTTCTCCATCGGTAGTAATATTGGGATATTTAGCTTCCCGTCTATACGTTAGGTAGAATAGAGTAAATCTTGTAGTGGCTTGCTTAGTGGTCCTGTAAGCAAATAACCCTGATGGGATTAGTGTATCCTATTCTTTATCTTGCTTCACCAATTTGGCCAATGATTTGCACAATGTGTGATTATATCTTTCTACTAGACTATTGGTCTGAGAATGATATGGCGTAAACAACAAATATCAATTCGCATTTGTTGTTTCAGATAGCAGACCATATTATTATTAAAATGAAGTTCTCTATCAGTTACTATTTGGGCCAGACACCCATATCAGCTAATAATTTCTTGGTATATAAAGTTAGCAATTTGATAGGCTGCTGCATCTAGTGTGGCTTTCACTTCTGGCCACTTGGTCATATAGTTGACTATAACTATAATATATCAGTTCCCACTAGAAGTTGGGTCTAAAGGTCCAACAAAATCAATTTCAATCTTATAGAAAGAAGATTTGACTATGATTAGCTATAAAGGTCCTTGAATTTAATACTTGTTATGCTTTTGGTATGCATCACATGTCTGAACATATGTATAAACAAATGCATATATCTGAGGCCAATAATATCAGTCACGGATTTTCTCAAACATCTTTTCCTCCCCCAGGTAAGCTTCTAAGGGGTGATTAAGCATCAGATACAGGATGGAATCTACCTCATGTGGTTGGATAACTCTTAGTAACTAATTTCTAGTCTGTCTTCATCGATCCCTCTTATAGAATAGACAGTTATATACTATGTAGAATTTACTTTGGGCTTCTAACTGCTGTTTTTGTCTTGATGTAAAATTACTTGGATAATTAGCAGTTTCTAAAAAGGTTTTAATTTGTTTATACTGGGTGGGGTCTATTTAAAATAAAAATAAATAATAGATAGAAAGGAAAAAAAAATACAACCAAAAAAAAAAAAATAAAATAAAAAAAACAATTTAAAAAAAATTAGATTATATTATTTATATGATTATATCACTGTATGGTTGCAGAGACTGACTTGCAAGGTTTAGCATTATTTGAGGACAGGAAGGTATGTGGATACTATTAAAGATACACAACAAGGTTTGGTACCTTTTACCAAACTAAATTGCACAAATAAGTGTCCTTAAGATTATTATGTTTATTCAATTGTCGGGTAGTAGGAGTATGTAGTGAAGGTAACCACCATGGTTGGTTACATATAGCATCTTGAACTGGCTCCTGCAGTATGTGGTCCACCAAAGATGAATGATCAATTGAGACAAGGTTTTATTAAATGGAATATTGAGCCTATTACTACTGCTTTGGTCCTACTCAATACATAGAGTCTCAATCCTTATAACTGTTCTAGTTTTTGATAGCAAATCTCACATATTGGCAATCTCTGTCTTATAGTTAGGCGTAGACCAATAACATTTAGCACTTTTGTAATAGGGTAACTCTTAACTATGACTCACAATTTGAGATCATATTTGTATTTAATGCAATTGTCTAATAGAAAATAAAGCTTGTCACTGCACTAGCATTGTGCAGTGGGGCCTCTCCAGTCTCTAAACAAGTGTTTACTATTTGTTTTTTGACTAAGCTAAGTACTGATATGCTCTAGATAATACCAGATACATATTTGCTATTATACCTAATTTCATTAGGCATGAACTCTACTTGCTAGTAGAAGTATATCCCATATAATGCTGCCGATAGTGGGTCAGGACTTAAGGTTCTCATTATCTCACTAATGACTTCACCACCAGATCACTTTCCTCAAACCTATCTATCATGTATACTATTTCTTTGTTGTCTTTGTTTGGTATATATGACAGAATATTCGCATTGTTATATTTGTGGCCTGGGTGATGAATTATTATGAAGTTGTAGAGTTTCAATCTCATAATCTATCTGGCTCATTTCCTCTTTAATTCTAATGTTCTTAACTATTGTAAGGCCAAATGGTCAGTGATAAGGAAGAAGGGCCTGGTACCAAGATACTAATAGAAATACTCAATAGCCCATATTACCACTAAGCACTCCAACTCAGAAATAGAGTATTTTTGTTTAGACTGCGACTCGCATAGGCAATGACATACTCCTTCCGGTTGTTATCCAATTGAGCTAATACAGCTCCTAACCCAAAGATTAATGCATTGGTATGGAGGTGAAAGGGGTGATTAAAATTGGGGTACTGTAAAATTGGAGAAGTGGTTAGATAATCTTTGAGAACTCAGAAAGCTTCATCTTGAGCATTAGTCCAACAATATACTTCATCCTTGCACAAGAGCAAATTCAAAAGTTTGGCTATTTTGAAAAACTTATCTATAAATTTCTGGTAATATGAAGCCATTCCTAAGAATAATCAAACTTGTTTAAGAGTTATCAGTACAAAAAATTCTCTTAGTTGTTTAACATTATTCTCGTCCAGGAGGATACCTTAGTTACTAACTATATGACTTAGGAACTTAATCTGGTTATAGAAGAAGGAACACTTCTTCGAATTCAATTTAAGTTTGCCATCTCTATTCTATTAAATACTTGTTGGAGATATTCTAGGTACTCCTCAAAGGTTTTAGAATAGATGGTTATATTGTCTAGATAAACAACTAAGAAGTGGTTAATAAAGGACTTAAAAATATAATTCATTAATTATTTGAAGGTTGAAGAGGTATTACATAGTTCAAATAGCATGACATTAAATGCATAAATCCCAAACTTAGTAATGAATGCCATTTTCTTAATATATTTCAGCCTCATAGTGACCTGCCAGAACCCACTAGCAAGATCAAGACTCGTAAACCATTGGGCTCCTTCAAATACTGTCAATACTTTATTGATATTAGAAAGGATATAAATGTCCGTTTTAGTCACTATATTAAGCTTTTGACAAT